GGGGCCTCGGATGATATCGGCCTGTCGTCTCCAACGAGAGTAAAGAGATCTGGTGGTCCCTCTGGCCCGAGAATAATGCCATCAGCACTTACTGGTAATTCTTCGAATAATAATGAGAGGTCGTCATCCACTAACACTACATCAGCGGGAGGATGAAAAGGAGAAAATTGTGGTGAAGGATTTACCTCAACAGACTCTAATGGCTCTTGTAGCATAAGCTCATCCTCCTGAGTTTGGGCCATAGAATTTACCGCTTCGCTTTCAGAGGCAAATGGTTCCTTTGAAACATCTAGACTTCCGACAGATTGCTGATCGATTGCAGCAAGTGAGGATGAAAAAGGTTGATGATCAGTGTTGGACGAGACTTGCTCTTGGTAATGAGCCGAAGCAGAACTGAACTGCTGAGCAATCAGATCAGCGGAAGAAAAGTTCAGAGTATATACTGCACCCGACGGTTTCTCTTTCTCGGTGAAAGTCTGGAGCGTTTGTTCACTATGTGACAGTGAACTGTCTGTGGAACTTGCACTTGCAAAATATTCTGCTTGTGTTTGCTGGCCTGTAGATGAAGCTTCTACTTGTAATGTTTGCGATGTCTCTTGTAATTCTGAAGCAGATGACAAGGCTCCCTGTATTTCTGAAGTAAATGATGACCCTTCTTGAATGCCTGAAGATGACACTTCTTGGACTTCTGAGGTAGATGAAGGCATTTCCTGTATTTCCGAGATAAAGAACGAAGTCCCCTGCATCCCTGAGGTAGAAGTTTCTTGTATTTCTGAATCAGAAAGCTCTTGTGCTTCTGAGGTTTCTTTCATTTCTGAAGATTCTTGTACTTCTGTTTGTGATACAATGGATGACATTTCTTGTCCTTGGGCTTTCAACGCAGTGACAGATTGTGAATCAGAACTCTGATTTTCAGATGTCTGTGTTGATGTGCTCTGAGAACTAGCAAAGTCTATAAATGCAGGAACTTGCAAGAAATTATAGTCAGAAGTTGCTGTTGATGGAGAAGTCTCACTAGATGGTGGCAGATAGGAGAGATCCAAAGACGAGACCTGACTGGTAGGAAGTTGCAAGAAGTTAAAGTCAGAAGTTGTTGCTGATGAAGATGATGGTGGCAAATAGGAGAGGTCTAGAGATGGTAACTGGTTGCCTGACTCTTGGTTTAGAAGGGGGAAAGGAATGCCCATATTGGCTACTTCACTTGCGTCACCATCTTGTATGACGATCGTTTGACTTGTTACAGGTTTCCCATCGTCCAGGACAACTGTTCCTTCAAGAAAATTGCCAAAGGGAGTTTCTATGATGGTTGGCATGGTATCAGGATTCTGGTGGCTATCCTGTGCACCTAGAAACTGTGGCAAAGTAGAGTCAGTTTCCATAAACTCCACTTCTCCAGGTGGAAGAAATTCCAAAATAGCTACCCTAGAGTCGTAGTCATCCTCAGGGAGTAGATCAGGGTCTTGTAAGGCCGCTATGTGAACGAGGTCCTCTGATCCTAGCCCGAGAGCGTCTACCAGTGGCCGGAAATCTTCACGTTGCAGAAGTTGTACGACATTAATAGGAGATGCTGACCCTGACACAGGAAGGCCTTGTGTCAGGATACCCCCTCGAATGTTATTTTCGCCCGGCCTTTCCACAGAACCCTGGAATGGACTCCATTCACTTCCAGGAAGCTCTGTTCCAACAACTGCGAATGACGGTCCCTGAGCCACGGGTTCATGATGGAACCCAAAAGCTGGAGGGAATATGGCGTTGTAATCTTCAAAATATGTAGGTGGAGGAGTCAACTTTTTGAAAGGATTCCACCCAAGGCTTGATATGACTTCCTTTGTTGTCAAAGGATGACCAAACGCAAATTCTGATGAAACAGAAGATCCAGTAAGTGCAGATAGGGGCCCCACACCCCTTACACCGAGGGGTACGCCTGACTCACCATTTTTGGTATCATCTGGTAGTCTGCTCGGTATTAACGATGGCAAAACAATACCGTCTGTGTTGCTCTGGGGTATAGTATGACCACTTCCTGGGAAAGTATTGGCATGAAGGTGCGGATTTTCTCTAGAAAGACTTTCACTGCTGTCAGATGCTTCATTGCTTGAATCAGTACCAATGATGTGACTATTGGAATCACTGGACTCGTCATCCGAATTCTCACTGTTTACTCTTGGATCAGGAGCATGTGTGTTATTATTGAGTCTGCTGCCGTCTGTACCTATTCCACTCTCTGAGTCTTCATTGCTGGAGCTGTCACTAACAGAACTGGAACTGTATGAACTACTACTATTGTAGCTGCTACTGCTTGAGCTGCTACTGCTGGAACTGCTAAAGCTGGAGCTGCTACTGCTAAAGTTACTGTTACTAGAGCTGCTACTGATGGGGTTACTGCCACTGCTTAAAGTGCTGGTACTTGAAGTGCTACTGGCTGAGCTGATACTGCTGGAGTTACTGCTAGTTGTGCTGCTACTGGTTGAGCTGGTATTACTGTACTTGCTATTACTGC